TACTTTAGTATTATCTTTTTACTTCAATACTAAATTATAATATAAATATATCTTTGGTTTCTTGTAATATAATAATTTTAATTATTGCTATAACTAATTTTTTTATCATCAATAAAAATGGTCAATTTTTATTATTGTATGAACCCTTTTCTTTACTCTGTTTATAAATGGAGGTAGTAAAATTTCAATTTTGTTTCACATTATTCAAGCATCACTTTTACTACATTTTAGTTATTCTTTTTTGTTCTATTTTATAGAAGTTTTATATATATATTTTTTTAATTTTATTATAAATTACATATATAATATAATTTATAATAATTGAATTGGTTATGCAGTATAATAACTTTTAATCTACAATTTAAAAATATAAATAATTGTTTACAAAATTAGGAACATAATATATGTATAAAACTGTTATATAATAATTTTGTTAAATATTCGTAAATATTTGCGGCGAGTTATGAGTGGCCGTGTTTAATTTCCAACCCCAAGAAAAACCTGTTTACACATAGAAGTGGGGAAGCCGTTGGCTTTTCTGTCAGTTGTGATCGGTCTATGGTCTAGTTGATTAGACACGTCGGCGTTGCTAGAAGTTGCCCCGCGACATTTGTCATCGTACGGCCTGTGTAAATATGGTGGATTTACGGTTCGTGTGATCAGTTATATAATTAAATACGTGTTGTTTCCGTCAAACGTGTGAAGATTGTTTGAATACACCAGTTCTCATCCGATCACTTAAGTTATGGCCAGGTCAGATTATCAACCATATTTGATACCTACATTTATTTTACACCACTGTAATTTTTTTATCGTTCATTTATCTCTTTATTAGTTATGTAGGTGGGGACGTCCAAACATAAATTGATTATTAATTGTATTAATATTTGTTGTTATAAACAAATCATTTATTTTGGTTTCTTTAACTAATAAGATTAAAAGCATTCCTTTTATTCACTTTTTAAGTAAGTCAGGCCAACCGATATTTTAGGAGCCTGTAGACGAACAATATTACAAAAAATATTTATTATATGTATGTTTGTAATACGTATTTTAATTAGCTTTACAAGATAATTGATTTATTATTGACCAATAAATTTCTCCTAAAGTAATAATAATTTTGGAAATATTTACTTGACTTTGTAGAGTCCTATTGATCTTTTAACATATAATTAAATATATTTTTAGTCTGTCGTTTATCCCTTATAAAAATACAAACTTTGTTTTTTTAGATTACAACATACATTTTTAACTTACTTATATGATAGATAATAATCTAATTAAATAAAAAAGACTGGTAGATAATAATCATTAGAGCAGTACTTTGAGAATTATTAGTGTTTTTATACTTAGGAAGATGAAAATACGCGACCGTAATACGTTTAATGATAAAAATAGTTATTAATATATTAATAAATTGAAAACAACACAATAAATTGGCGACAAATGCAATGATTATTTTAAATTCAATGAATGGAGAAAATAAATACTGAAGTCAAACGAGCTAAATAGAAAGAGCGACAAATTCAAATAATCAGATGAACAAAATTAAAGTGTCATAAATGTATAGTACAGTGAATATATTGCATGAGAAAACGTGACTTGGTTGAATTCTATCTTACTAAATAGTTACTTAGTTGCGTTCTTTCGTGTCCCGTGGATTAGAATTAAGTTCATAAGCAAACTGGCAACGTTGCTTCCATAAGTCTGTATAATAAAAAGGGACAGAGCATTGGAATGTTCTTAAAGCTTATAAATTCCACACGTTGCCAGTTGTCCTATTAACTCATCTATTATATGAATTTGTCGCCGCTTTAAAAATATTTGGTCGTCTGCTGAAAACGGTTGTTTGAATTTGTGGTTCAAATATACTAAAATTATTTCTATTAATAGACCGTCCGGTTGGTAATATCTCTATTTCTTATTTATTGCCCATTAGTATTGTAAATAAACTGCATTTATAGAATGTTGTTTATTATGTCGATTTAGTCAATTTTCAGTATATATTATTTAAGCACCACTTCTACATTTAAGTTATTCTTCTTTGTTCTTTTTTTAGCAGAAATGTTTATTCTATTTGATAGAAGTTTTATATATTTTTTTTTTACATTTTATTATAAATTATAAATATAATATAATTTATAATAATTGAATTGGTTATGCAGTATAATAACTTTTAATCTAAAATTTAAAAATATAAATAATTGTTTACAAAATTAGGAGCATAATATATGTATAAAACTGTTATATAATAATTGCGTTAAATATTTCTAAAATTATTTATTATATTAATATTATATCTATAAGTATGTATAATATACATACTTCATCATAAAAATTATTGAATTATTTTATTTTGTATTTGTACTTTATTTTTTATGCGATTAGGGTAGATATAATATATTATGTTATTTAATTAGCTTTAAATAATGATTGATTTATGATTGACCAATAAGTTTCTCCTAAAGTAATAATAATCTTGGAAATATTTTTTTGACTTTGTGAAGCACTATTATCTCTCAAATTTTAAGTGGTTAAATATTTTTTAAGTCTGTTCTCTATTCCTTATAAGGGTGTCAACTTTATTTTTTTAGTTGTTACCGTACAATTTTAATTTACTTATAAAATAGAAAATGGTCTAATTTCAAAAATGACTGGTAGATAATTACCTTTGGACCAATACTTAGAAAATTATTAGTACTTTTATATTTAGCAAATGATAATGCGCGCCTGAGAAACGTCTAACGATTAAAAGTCATACCCAGTCACAAATATATTAGAGCGATAAATTAAAAACTACACACCAAATTGACGAAAAATTCATTGATTATTTAGAATTCCATGGATAGATATCGAAGTAAATCGAGCCAAGTAGTAAGAGCGACAAATTAAAATAATCAGTTGAACAAAATTATAGTATCATAAATGTATAGCACAGTGATTGTATTGCATGAGAGAACGTGACTCGGCGGCCAAATGAAAAGAGAATTCTATTTTACTCATTAGACGCTCAGTTGCGTTCATTCGTGTCCCGCATTTTAGGAATATTTTGTAAATAAGCAAACTGGCAACGTTGCTTTCATAAGCCTGTATAATAAAAAGGGACAGAGCATTGATATATTCTTAAAGCTTATGAATTCCGCACGTTGCCAGTTTGCTTATTAACTTATATTTTATTTGAATTTGTCGCCGTGTGTTTGTTCCGTCTGCTGAAAACAACTGTTTGAATTTGTCCCTCGAATATACTAAATTTACTGCTATTAATAGACCTTCCGAGTAGGAAATTTTTCTATTTGTTATTTATCACCTATTAGTAAATTGTATTCATAAAATGTATGCTGTACATTATATCTGTTTAATCAATTTCGTTACATATTATTCATGTACCACTTTTATTATATTATTGTAGACTTTCTGTTTTATTGCATTTTTAACAGAAATTGTTATGTTTGTTATAATATAATTTAAATTATTTAAATTATAGTTTAAAAGCAATCTACATAAAATAACCAATCCCCACAAAAAATATCAACCGATTTGATACTTTATGGCAAACAATTACACTGTTATTATTATCTTTTTACTTCAATACTAAATTATAATATAAATATATCTTTGGTTTCTTGTAATATAATAATTTTAATTGTTACTGTAACTCATTTTTTTATCATTAATCAAATTTGTCAATTTTTATTATTTGACGAACCTTTTTCTTTACTCTATTTATAAATGGAGGATGTAAAATTTCAATTTTGTTTTATAACATTGAGTCTACTTATTTTTTTTTTAAAGTAAGTCCAAGATAATTTTTTTACCATTTAATAAGAAATTACAAAATTTTACATTATTAATTTTATTATATAAAATTATCAAAACTTTATTATCATTTTTTATTGCATAAAAAAATATTATATCATTTTATTCTTTTGAAAACTCTTAGTGATCAAAAACTTGTGATTTATGAACTTGGGACTCAATATTTTGGCTAAATATTTAATAAGAATAGTTTTAATTTCATATAAATATGCCAAATATCATTAATTATAAATATATAGTTAATTATTAATCAAGCTATTAAATAAAAATATGTAATATGAATTATGAATTATAGTATTTATTCAAACTACATGAAACATATTAATAATATTTATGTAATTTGACATGCTTTAAGAAAACATTTAAAACGTAAATACAAACAAAAAATAATTGACCCAAAAACCTAAACACTAAAAAGTACTATGAGAGAATATTTATCCAAGCTTTTATTTTTAACTCTATCTTTACTGAAATTGACCTCACTTTTAACACACTACCTATTTAATCATTCACTATAGCAGTGGTGTAGCCAGGATTTCATTAGGGGGCAATAGTAAAAAAAATCTTAGTTCTATAATTCGAACCATTTTTCTCATCGTTTTAATTTAAACTTAACTCTTCTAGCTATGCCATTAATTCGTATTATATAAGTATACGAGTTTAATACAATAGGAAAATGTTTCCTTATTTGAAAAATACCTTAAAAAAAATTCTACAAATCGCTCTTTAAAAATAATAACAGTAATAAAAGATAGTTGTCCAGTTGTAATAATATTATTGTAGTATTATAATACTATGTATTAAAAGCTATATAAAAAAAATTAACAATAATGAAAAATAAAGCCTGTTCAAAACGAGGGGTAATAATCCCTCGACTCCCCCTTTAAATACTACTCCGAGATACTTTGTAAAGCGAGAGTGGTTGTGAATAAGTGTAAATTATAATCGAAGTAGAATAGTTTAAACATAAGTCGTGGGATTAAATTAATTTATTTTATATCTACAGACTTCCTTAACAAATTTGAAAAAACAATTTCTATTAATAGTTTAATATCAGTTCCCCGAGAACAGTGATCCTACGGACATAGTCCATTCTGTCTTGAATATATCTTTTAATCTAATACGAAGTGATAAATTATGTTATTTATTTTTAAGAAATTCTTTATTATAATTATTGTTTACAGGTTTGTTAGTCGTATGGTGATTTGCCATAGGGCTGGCCGCTATCATGTGGCATTCGGGTGGAATGGGCAGTCACGGTGGCGGCTGGATGAAACTGATGGGAATGGTGCACAGGGATCGGAGAACGGCACAAAGGCATGTACAGGATGCAGCTACTGCGCTTTTGGCTCCAATCGACAGGTAATGTTATTAGTATAACATAGAATGCATAAGGCCATAAATGATAATAAATGTGTTACGGTTTTACTATGAGCCGCATTATAACCTTTTGTTGTATATTAATGTGCTGGTTGGACATGGAAGAGTCCGATACTATAGCGTTAATAGCTTTAATGACACTCTATGATTTATGTAATGAGGTGGCTTTTTATAACATCATATATATATATATATATTATACGCAATATAAGTTTTTACAATATACTATTTTGACTAACAGGATAGTGGTAAAGGTAATAATACAACTAAAGATTATAACATTAACTTATTATGAAATAATGAGCACCATAAACATAATACTAAAGTTCTAAGCTTAAATAATATCATTATTCATACAACAACTATTATAATAGTTATTTTAACTTATATGTATAGATGCAATTTTGCGTAAAAAAAATATTATTTAATATTTAAATGTGTAAAATTTAAAAAACATAACAGGTTTGAATATAATGAATAAAATAATATTTTAAACATATTTAGCTCTAATATCAACAATAATAACTATTTTTGTTTTTTCCTATGATTAAAATTATATAGAAAAAATGAAGTTAGGTATTCGACAGCTGTGTTATCACTTGTGTATACTTAACACATACTGAAAAGCGGTTTTGTATAGCATTGTAACACCTCTCAAATGAAAAATGGTGACTTGCAAATTTTTTCTCAAATCGTTAAATATACTACTATTTTTTAAGGCCTTAAACAAACAAGTTCTTTTATTAACAAATATTTAGCCTTATATAATTTGTGATTGGATGCATTTGATAAAAAAGAGATAACTAAAAAAATAGATTTTGTTGACTTATTAAGTGACGGTAATTTTGCGTTATACAACTTCTATACAACTTTTATACAACTTTCATGGTTTTAATTGTCTTTTCATACAATTAAGTTTTACTACATTATCAATTGCGTGTCTACATAAGGGGCAGCTGCCCCAGAGCCAAACCAAAAATTGTTAAGGAGGGCATCAAATACAAAATGACCTAGATCGCTGAAATTATTAATAAACCACTGTGTGTTATCACAATTTTTGATATAAAAATCAAGTGTTCACCTACTGGAAAATTATAATGTATAACATAAAATAATAAATTGAAATTTGTGTGAAAATTAGTTATAAATATTTTTACATTATAATTACATAGAATTGTCCACAAAATATTTTAATTTTAGTAAATTAATTAATGTGATGAATGTGGCGGCATCAAAATATAAATTAATAAAAAACTTTAAAAGATAAAAACTCTTAATTTATGTTCATTTATTAGTGAAGTCAACCACTCTGTATTTTTGTACAGCACATTTTAAATATAGTCGTTACTCTAATATTCCTCTCAACTTAAAAGTAATATGGAGAAGTCATTTCTATTTATGTCACTGATAATAATCAACAATATTGTTTTTTTAAAAAATCCATGATAATATTTTCTTACTATATTATAATAACATAACTACTTCATCAAACTGATTACATGACATATTGTGCCTTTTATATCGTCAAAATAACGTGCACATGTGTTAGGGTCCTCAAAAATATAGTCAAACAAATAAAAACCAGTATTTCGAAACACTCGAAAATGGTTCAAATAGTTTGGGCCAAAGGGGAAGTTATAATAGGAAGATGATCAATACGCAAGCGGGTTAAAGCGTCACCTGGTACACGCCGGTTGTATCCGCATACACAGAGCGGTGAGCGCACGTGCAAGTACAAAAGGCAAATGCAGGCGAGTGGAAGGTACCCTCCCCTTTAGAGTCGCAATGCGTTAAACCATAACTCTTTTGCGGAGTTTTCAAAAGAAAATTAAATGTGCTAAACAAAGTTTAAACCTGTTTTTAAGTAGTTTTGGAATTGTTTAAAAATTCTGAAAGTTATAGCGCCAAAGGCAATAATTATAGACTTTGGACTCGGATACAAAGAAATACTTATCAGTACTACTAAATTGACAAAAAAATGTTGATTGTTATTTGAGAAAACAGAATAACTTGTTAAGTTTTTTAAAACTTAACATGTATATATTTTAATGTACATATACAAAGTGATCCATGAACCACTAAATTACTTATAAAATAACAATTTTGAGAATTTTTTTTTTTTTAATTTTTCAGTTGCATATAGTTATTGATTCGTATTCGAATAAATTGTTATTTAGGAGTATATCAAAATAATCTATCCTGATTTCATAAATTACACGAAATAATTATTGGACTTTACAGAATAATATTATTCCAAGTGAAATTGTTTATAATCTTTAAACGTTTTTAACTTGTAGCGTCAACGTGCATTAGCATATCTGTTGAGAGGTTATCGCTTTTTGCAACTGAGTATTTTACCACACTATGAATTTCTTAACATATCATAACAATCGTGGCTTCCTGCCATCTGCGTACTATTACACCGACTCTTACATTATACAGCACCCCCACTCAATAATTTGTGTATACACCCGAGTGATTTTTTATCGAGTTCAAACGAATCCTTTTGGCCACCACCATCGTGGTTTAATTTTTATAAATATAATCTATGTACCCTAGAAATAGACAGCAAACGATTCCATGATTAACCTGATGCAGTCTATTTTTAATGCATGTGCTGACATGCACGACAATATGACCGAAAAGATTTAATGCGGAGGGGTCGATTACGTATGAGCTCAAGTGTATATAATAATATAAAACGTACTAACACGTCTAGCCGTCTGGAAAAACGCCACTTTAATGCAACAGTGTTTGAATGGTCATAGTGTGTAGGTCGCAGGTCTAGTAAAGAATAATACAACTATTATATAAAAGTTTTTTGATTCTATTTAATAAAAACCTTTAAAGGTTATGTTAGAACTTTTAAAAGAACTATGCCGCTTGTTTCTTTTGTGTGACGTTTCTTTTATTACTCATATACTGTAAAAACGAGTTATAGAACCTTTATTGGTTATTTAAAAATTTTAAGTCATAAAAAATCAACAATATATAATAGCAAATTTAAACTATTTACAGATTTATTTGGACATTACTCAATCATTTATTTATATTTTCACCAGCTAATAAATACCAATTTTTATAGATAATTTGAAATATTTACATTATAGCATATAACTAAATTGTTGAGCTCATCAATAATATATCCCAATATGTCTTATGTTCTAAGTTTATTAATCGTTTTAGATATTAAGCTGTAGAATAAAAGCAATAAACGAAATACATTTTTACATTAAGAATATTTAAAGATTTCGTACTATTCAAAATTATGGTTTTTTATCAATAGTTTAGTAAATAATATTGGCTCTCAAATAAATGTAAATTTAAATCTCTTTCTAAGGCAACAATTCTATATTAAATCGATTTTTTAGTTTGATAAATTTAATATAAAGTTTTTTTAATTTTTAGTATTATTTTATTGAGGACGAATATAAAATTTTTCGAAGGAGCAGGTTATAAATAAAAATAACGATTTTTAGGCGGTAATTTTTTTTTGACCTGATTGACATTATTTTTTTGTTCATTAACTGTATTTTATACTATTGACACGTCTTAAAAGTGCTTATGCAGCCACCTTGCACCTTTGCTGAATCTGTCTATAGTTAAAATCAATTTGATTAACAAAACACCGACTTGGTTTTAATTTAAATTATATAATTTAATTTAAGTATTTTACTGCTCGATTTATTTTGAAAAACCAATGTTGAATTTAGTTAAATTCTTTTAAATACACTTTCATACGATTAGCTGCTTTACAGTGAGGATTATAACAAGTTATTACTTAGTATATTTGAAGGATATATCAAAGGAAGTCAAAAATGTACTAGATTATGTGGTTTAACACTTTATGACATTGATAAATAGTTATTTGAAATAAGTAGCAATTGGGCCATTTTTAACGTATTTCACTGGAAATTACTGTAGCTTGAAATACACAAAGTTCTAATCATTTAGTCAACTAATGTGTAGTGTATTATTTCATGTTACTTTATATCTATACATTTGTTGCAACTCATTGTTATTTTACTCACTTATATCTTCAATAAAACTTGAATATTATTTTTAATATATTAATTATTCTTTTTGATTGTTTGAGCAACATTAGGTTAAAAAAAATTACATTTTAAGGGGATATCCTATGATAAAAAAAGTTTATATAACCTGTATAACTTGAATACTTTTGTTACGTGATTTAAATTAATATTAAATATAGATCTAGATAGATAGATCTCCCTCAAAACAAAAATATTTACACAGAATAGATACAATTGCTTTTTGTTTGAAGGAGGAAGTAAATATTTTATATAAATGTATAATATATATCTGTATAAAAATAATTAAAAAAAATTAACTTTGCAATATGATTTTAGCTATTAAAATGGAAGATTTAGTACTCATATGATAAAAGTTACTGCGTTAAAACTTAATCCATCATTATGCCCGATTATAAATTGTTTATGAGCGGGGTCTATGTACCTAAGATATAAAATATAAAATTAATGAATAAAAAATAATATACAATGAAACCATAAAATTAGTTATATTTAACTCAAATATAAGTATATATAGGATCAAATATTATTGTTTAAATATTTATACTTAAATGTATGAATACTCATTGTAATTTTTAAAATACAAAAAAGTAAATTAATGTATAAAAAAATACATGTAAAACAGAAAAGATATATTATTTTTTTAATGATGTTTAATCAAAAATAAAAGTAATTCCATTAAAAGTATATACTTTTAAAAATAATAAAGTATATACTTTTAATGAAAATATTTATAAATTTATGTAAAAAATGTAAATGTATATTTTGTAATCGAGATTCACTTAGAATAGTATTTTTAAAGATAATAGAGTAAATTATAAAAAATATATAAAAAGTTGAAATATTATTTTAACTTCGATGCATGATTGAGAAGATGTTAATTGCACTATCGATCTTTTTTTCGTTTATCAAATTTTTGTGAGACATGAA